TAATGACAAAGGCAGATCAACATAGGAAACTGAAACTGCAACTCAGTCGGGCTTGGTTTCTTTGGCACAGGAACAATGGTAGCAAGACAAAAAGAAAGAGAATTTACAGTTAGGCAGCATTTAAAGAAGAAATTCCCTAGCAATTGGAATATATATTCTGTTTACAGAGTAAAGAAAGCCACTAAATAAAACCAAGATCCAGTTGGAGGATGTTCTACCAATGACTGCATAACTAATCATTAGAAATCAAAACACAAATTCCACAGAGGCCAATATTAAATTGAGTTACTGTCATGTGTATTCTGGTCTATTCAATCAAATTCTGGCTGCTCAAAACCCAGAGGGATAAATTCTGTTCTTAGTTATACAGCTGTCCTCAATGGAAATTGTCAAAAATACAAGCCAAGAAGTGTTTAAAGTGCAGTATACATTTAAAGAAATGTTCACATTAATTCAGATTTTGTTATTTTTCCATATGAGAGCTATACAGTGAAAAAAAAAGACATCTCCATACAGCACATGCTCAATTTTTTATTATGATGGAGAATAAGAATACTATGTTTTGCAAAGATGATGCTTTATAAGCTTGTAAAAAACGCACTTATTCAAACCATATCCAAAAACAAGACAACTGTGTAACAGTCCTCATAGCTGGCCTCCAAAATCACCAGAAGCAATAACCTCTAAAAAAGATGATTTTTCTTTTGGTATTTTGGTATTCATTCAACTCATGACTCTCAGCAAGCAGAGAAGCGACAAGATACAGTCAAGACACCTGAGCAGTATTTAAGTTCCAAGACTGATATTTCCACACAATTTACTTCTCAGGGATTCTATGATGCCTTGTATGTCCCACAGACAGTATGCAACTGTTACCAGTTTCACCTACACTCAATAATTGCTAAAAGACATGCCATGAAAGCCCTGAATAGATAGCACTGAAACTACCTTAAATAGATACGGCCTAAACAGAATCATCATGGGAAAATGTGAGGCAGAAACAAAAACTAATAGCTTCTAACCCTCATAATTCCCTCAGTAAACTAGCAGTTTAATTAAGAACAAAAATGAAATAAAGAAAATAATTTATACCAATTTTCTAGGTTTTTCTAGAGTCACTTCAACATTTTAAGAAGGTATTTGCTATGGCAAATACAAACTAAAACATAGCAATTAGAAGCAAAGAAGTGTTCGGTGAACAATCATAATGTACAAACAATATTAACCATATTTTTCTCTCTGTGGAATCTGGGAAAAATATATTCAAAACTGCAGAAATGTTATATGTAAAATATTTCTTGCAGATTTTTAATCCAAATGAAACCAACTTATTACAGTATTTGTTGGAGCCTGGTCGTAATTAAATACAGGAAGGATATTAAAACGTCCAAGAGATTTTTTTTAAGCCACAACAGAAGAAAAGGCACAATTGCATAATTGGAACCAAATCCAAACCCCACTTCCTTCTTATTTACCAGTATCATCTAAAGAACACTATTTAGATGCTGAAAGATCTGGAACTTACAACTGTGAATCATCTAAAAGTCAAAAATTTCAAAGGAATTGTATGACACAGGTTAAAAGTTTATAGATGAGAGATATAGAAAGTTTCTGCTCACTACAAAACCACATCCTAAGAGTTACCATATCACTTGTTCAAAAAAAAATGCTAGAATCCTATTTTGTTGTGGGGAAAGAAATCTTGTTTGGTAGTAATAAGTGTTTAAAACATGGAATTTGAAAGAAAGATATGTATTTTAAGATATTCTAAAAATAATATTTTTTGAGAGTACAGGGTCTCACTTATAATTTGGATCTACACAGATAACAAATATGAAACTAACTTGCCAGTCAGTGGGATAGTTCTTTAAAAAGTTTCAGATCACTTTTATTGGCAGCTGAATTCAGTTCAATGCTCTTTGTTATTTGCATGTCTGTGTAGGTAATTAGTATCAAAAGCATTTTCCAGCCCTCCCTTCCACAAAAAAAAAAAAAAAAGAACCAAAAAAACCCGAACAAACTTCTTGTGTTTCTGCAAGGCATGCAGAAAAGTGATAGCACAGACACAGATGGACATTTAGATGTGAAGTTTTCTGTATAAAACAAACCAAACCATTTTCAAGATTTTCTAATTACCTGAATGACTTAAACCCTGGGGTTTTTATTCCTTTCTGACATCGTCAGAGTCATCAACACTGAACAATGAATATGTATAGGTTCACAATTTTCAGATCAGATGAAGGGATGAACAAAAGATCCAACCACACTGCTATATTAGCTCAGTGCATGAAATGCTGGCAAAACCAAGAAGTTTCATACAAGACCCTGCTGTCAAAACACTATAAATAGGATGGTTCAGTACACGTAGTAGATTCCTTTTTTCTTTGTTAAAAATTACCATGCTTCAGCAAAACTCTTGCTGAAGGAAAAGGGATCAAGATGTCTCTGACCACTAGATCCTACCATTAATCAATGTCAACAAGAACCTAATAAACTGAATGTATAAAACTTTAGGTTCCTTATTTTTTTGGCTGCATGCATGACAAACTTCAAAAAGTCCTTTTTAACATTCATCACATGAGGAAAAGCTAGCTGGGAGATAAAACCAAAATCTTTTTGGAAACATGGATCTTTAAAGACCCTGATCACATCACAGTAGTTGTCTAACTTAATTTAAAAGAACTCATTACCATCAGAAGTATTGTGAGAGTATTTTACCTGTTTACATTTTCAGATTTGTACTACACTTTCTTAGTAGAGACACTCCCGCTAAAGACTTATAAGTAAGCACCAGTCTTATACAAACAAAGGAAACAAACCAAGAAACTAGATGTTCTGAGAGAGACTCAGCTGCCACTTATGTTTCTCTTCATTTATTTTAACACATCTTTGTAATGGGATTAATCACATGTTTTTTGTGGGTTTTTTTTTTACTTTAGAACCTCATCCATAAATACTTCTTCCAATTTAATAGATGTTCTCATTACAGTCTTGGGCCAACACCCCAAAATTAATTTGGACTGAAGCAACAGGGTCATCTGAATAACAGATGACCCTGTTTTCTGAATAACGTCTTTTATCCATATTTTGTTCCAATATACAATTATCTGAATTTCATTTACCCAACACTGAAGTAAATAAAAACATTTCTTCTTCAATGAGAGTGTGAATTTATGGAATTACTTCTTAATAACTTTTAGATAACTATAATTGAATAATGAGCAGGGAAGGGGTTACTGTTTAAAAAAACCTAAAAAAACAAATAAGCTTTTCCTTGAATATTTAGCATTGCTTCAACTAATCATGTAGAAGACAAACACCATGTGGCATGCTTTGTTCACCAACATCTACCCAGGTCTTCAATCTCTTCCTTGTGTATGCTAGTGAGTGGCCTAAAGGATGATGATGTGGAAGTTCAGATGGAAATTTTGCAATATCAGAACACTTCTGTGCATAGACAAATCTACCCTAAGCAAGGAAAAAGATTGTAAAGACAAATAAGATAACAAAATAAGCGAGCTACAGAAAAACCTAACTTCAACTCTTCTTGGTTTCAGCATTTGATAAAATACTGAATAATAATCAAGAAGACTTCAGTTTAAAAAAAAAGGCCAAAAACCAGTGGAACAAGGAATTACGTGCATACACCCCTCCCAGAATGACTCCTAAAATCAATAAAAATTATCAGAAGTATTTTTATAAAATTGGAAATTAAAAAGATCAAGGAGCAGCTTCCATAATATATAACACTACGATACCTTAAACATGAAACCCCCCTACTTCCACATATATACCAAATATTTCATAAGAATTTAATACACATTCTAAAAATTTTCTGAACCGTTTTTTTCCTAAGCATTTTTCCAATACGGAGACAACATTTGTGAATATATTTAAGTATAATAAAGTTCAGTTCTTACAAACATTTGTTCTGAAATAAAGGAGAAGTTCTTTATTGATTCAAGCAAGGATCTCCCCTCCTTTCTGATTTCAACAGTTATTCAGACAAAAGCAGTAGGCACGAAAACAGAGCAAACTCAATTATTAGTCTCAATCATTGTTACCATACAATGATATAGGTGTCCAACCTCTTGCTTGCACCTGGGCCAACTTTTAGCACAATGGGCACTGTCATTTCTCAGCTGTACTGACAGGTATAATGTGAAGAAAAATACAATTGAATAAAGATGAAAACAATGGAGCACTGTAGTTGCTGTAATTAGGACTGTACACAATTTTGACATACATTTTAAATTGAAAAAAAAATTTCTCTGTACCATATGCCCAGTTGCTACCAGCAAGTACCTACATATCATCAGCAAAACATCATATCAGCTGGTCTCTGGTCATATGCAGCTCAGCCACTTACTTTTTAGAAATGATAAATCAGTGCCCCAGTGGTGTTCAAATATTCAAAGTTAAATTTCTCATTATATGTAGTACATGCTGTATCTTTCATGAACAAAACAGCTTTGCCTTTAATGCCTAGGAAAAATGCTGCATCTTCAACCTTCATTCCTTTAACTCCCAGAGCCAAAAGGCAGACCTCCAGACTACATTACTTTGAAACTTGGGTGATACTTTAATACTCTGGGTGATTTTGCGCAAGTTATTCAGTTGCTCTAGAAGTTACATGTCCCAGTAAAGGGACAAAGGCCAAAGCCTTCCTCTCAACATTGGTTTCACCACTTAGGCTTCTCTGTCTCCAATTACTCACGACAACTACTACAAGGCTCAGTGATATTATAAAACTTGATTAACCTGTGTTTTCACAGAACATGGAAGTCCTTTGCAAAAAGTGAAAACCAAACTTAGTGCAGTAGTAACAATAACCATGTCATATAAAACGGTCACTACCAGAGTGGCAGGTTAAGAAAATGATCACCAATGCCATTATTATTGTTGTCATTAGTTATACTAACTGATGCACTTTATATGCAAATGTTATTCTTAGGTTCAAACATCTATAAAACAAAAAGCAATTTTTTTACAACTCCTACCTGAGTTGACAGGAGATTGCAGTCAATGTGTAGTCCTTTTCCTGTCTTATACCTCTGAAGTAAACCAGCCATAACTGCTCCATACGTATATAACCCAGTAGCAAGGTCTGTCATTGCTACTCCTGGTCTAACTGGCTCACCGTCCTAAAGAAAAAAAACAAACCAGAAATGCCCCAAAATGAAACAAGGCAAACAAACAAAACAATAAACAAAGAAAAAATTAAAAGCAGCAAAAACAAGTAGTGACAATATGATTGTGCAGGGCTGGGATCTTATTGACATGACAGGGACATGGTGGGATGACTGCTGTGACTGGAGTGTTGGAATGGAGGGATATAGGCTCTTTTAGGAAAGACAGGCAAAGAACACAAGGAGAACAAAGAACACAGTGTTTTTGTCTATGTAAATGACCAGCTGAAGCATATGGAATTTCACTGGGGATGGATGAAGAGCTGACTGAGAGCACAGGGAGGGCAATAGCAGGTAACATTATAATCATGCTACACACACCCAACTATGGGGACAGAAGGGGCCCTTGACAGACAGATAGCAGTGGCCTCACATTCACAAGCCCTGATTCTCATGGGGGGCTTCAACCACCCCATTATGTGTTGGAGAGACACCCACATAGAACCATGTGCTGTAGGAAAAGATCAGGTTCAAGACCATCTAGGGAACCTGAAGGTGCATAAGCCCATTAGACTTGATGACATACATCTGCAGGACCCAAGGGATTTGGCAGTGGGAATGGCTAAGACACTACCCATCATATTTGAGAAGTCATGGTAGTCCTGCAGAGTTCCCACTGACTGGAAAAAGGGAGACATAACCCCCATATTTTAAAAGGGTAAAAAAGAAGACCCAGGAGACTATGGGCCTACCAGTCTCCTCTTGCTATCCATCAGGCTTATGGAGAAGATTCTCCTGGACACTATTCCAAGGAACATGGAAAAGAACCAGGTGATTTGTGACAGCCAGCACGGCTTCACTATCAGCAAATTGTGCCCGAAAAATTTAGTGGCCTTCTATGATGGGGTTACAGCAGCAGTAGGTCTGGGAAGAGTGACTGATGTCACCTACTTGGTTCTGTGCAAAGCATTTGACACCATCCCACACGACACGCTTTTCTCTAAACCAGGCACTTGGTAGATAAAGAACTGGTTGGATGGTTGCACTCAGTCACAGCTAGTGCAAGAAATTAGTATCTTTGAATGACCAGATGTATAAAAACTACCACTGAAAACCAGGTATTCTTGCAGCACGTACACAAAACTGCCACTTTGTGATGCCACATACTAAAAACATGAAGGATTTATTATGCAACTTTTTGTCCCTAATAACATAATGCTTCAACTCACCAATGCAAAAAGAAAAGAGATAATGTTAGAGACAAAAGAAGCTAGCGAAGACTGAATTTTATTATCCTAGAAGCTAAAGGCCTAAACAATTTCTACAGTACACTGACACAGGTGCCTATCTGTTTAAAAGGCAGAACCATATTGCTTCATTCTTCTCACTCCCTTTTTTCTCTCCTCTTTAGTCCCTCCCCAAGTCAAAGCTCAGTTTTGTATTTTCCACTACACACATTCCAGGCTTCTAGTAAGAAAACAAACACAAATTTTTGTCTACACGTGTAAATATTACACATGCAAATATATGCAAATTCATGACACTGACTGAAGTCACTGAAAAGTTGTTCATTCAAATACCCTTTTTCTGTATGTCATCCCTTGTCTAGCATCAAGGGAAGAATCTTCATGTTACATGATGTGTTTCAGAACTTCTGTAAACACTGGCATGATATATGTCCCCTCTGAAATCAATAGCAAAATGAACTTCTAATTTCAGCCCAGCTAGGCTTTTATTGTCGTGCTTCTTCTGAAATATTCTCCATTTCCTGCTCTGAAAAGTTTGAGGTCAGATGATCAGATTATCACAGCAGTTTCTTATTTTGAAGTCTTACTTTTTGTTTGTTTGGGTTTTGTTTTTTTTTTTAAATTTTCAAACTGTGAAGAAAAATAGCAGTGCAAAGCTAATGAGACTCTTCCAGAATTCTGGCACACAAGTAAGCCTACCACAAGACAACTTAAAATCATTACAATTGATAAATAATAACTGTTTGTCAAGTTTTCATAAATGTATTTAAACTAATGTAGCATAAAGTAAATAAAATTGAATTTACAGAATTATTTTAATTAGCCATGTCTAAACTGCTATGTGTAATTACTGTAATAATAATCTTCTAAATAAGAATATAGGAATTGTTTCCTGATAATTATTTTTAAAAGAGTGTCTTGGATTCATGTAAGAAAATCTTCACCATCATTTTTCTTCTGCACTCCAGCAAGATTTACACAAGCCTGATACCAAGTCATATATGTTATATTTTTCTTTTGAATTTTTATTTTATTATCAGTTGCATTAATAGAGCAATTCTGAAATAGAAGACAGTAGGACAATATTTTCTAGATAAGATGGAAAAGGCTGCTATTTTTTTCATATCATGAAATTGACTAAAAATTACAAAATCTGTATAAAATATAGCAAATTTTAAAAATATTAGTTACTCTCATCCAAACTGCAGTAAGGACTAGTCTGTGACTATCTATAGCTTAGATATCCATAGGATTATATATAAACTACGCAATATTAAGGTGAATACTGTTTTAGGAAGTAGTACTTTTTCAAAGAATCTCTTATTTCTTCCTTCACCAGATGCTACACTAAGCTACTTCAGCTTCCCAAAAGAAAACTCAAAGGTTCCAGCTATTTACCACCCTCATTGTACCCAGCTCTGGGGAAAAACAGGAAAGTTCGTGCTTCACTTTTATATGCACAGGCCTACCAAGAAAACTAATTAGTCCATGAGAAGGTTTTTTCTCCTCAGAGCTACCTCAAAGAAATAGAAGAAAAAACAAAACAAATGAAAAAAAAAACAAAACCACTGCAAAAAACCACACACACATACCAAAACACCCAACCAAAACAAAAACAAAAAAAAAACCCTCCTATTCTCTGCTGCAAGTAATCACTTTGTTAAATTGCTCTTTCTTTATTATAGCCATTTCACTACATTCACTGGGTTGAGAAGAAACCAAAAAGACTTTAGATTTTACAAACAGATGTGCTGCAACATTCTTAGTTTGAATGACACACTGTTTTCAGAGTGTCATTAATTTCATCCTTTAAGGATGATATCATCCTTAAGGAGAACAACACATTTTGAAGATTAAGAAATTGGAATTATTTTAATAGCTTGTTATATACAAACTTTCAGAACCTTCATTGTCAATTACTAAACTGTCTAAAGTTTAAGAGCAAATACTTCTACCTTTGCCTCAGTAAAAAGTTCACCTTTTGTTTCTAAAAATACTTCCACAATTTCCCCTTAGAAAACAATCCTACAAAGTACTAGTACTATACTGCTGTGTTATTTTTAACATGTTGGCTTTGTTTTATCCTAATACTCAACAACCTATAATTCTGAACCAGTCCACACAATTTCTAACCATCCTTGGTCTTTCTACCAAGACTCATGATGAGCTGCCATGTCTCACTATTTAATCAGCTTCAATCAGCTCCTGTGCCATAAGCCAGTCTTTCTGTGGAAGGATACACAGGTGTAAGTACTGTGGAATGGATTAATTCAGGCTTTATCACTGTCCTGAAGAACAAGGGATGTGAAGCTGCTTTACATGAAGGTTAAAGCTAAACACACAGAGAAATAACCTTCCTTTAGACAGAGCTTCTGCCAGCACAGCACTATTTTTGTGTAGCTAACATTATACCATTTACCTGGGCAAAGTAAGGATCTACACAGTATCTTTTATTTAAGCAAGTTATTTCAAAAGTGACAAACACCACCACCCCTGCCAGACAACAATGACTTTATTGTTCTGGTAGGAAGAGCAAATGTAGCACTAGCCAGGGAGAATGTGTCTTAAGCAAACAAAGCTGCCATCCAGCCTCAAGGGCTGGCTTGGACTCTAAATTTGGTGCAGCATCAGGAGTTACCCTTTGTTCATTTGAAAAGATAAAGATGCATACCAGTTAAGAAGACCTTTTGTTTTTAAATCACTGTGCTTTGCTATTGCTCAATCTTATAGTTTACATTTTTATTCCTAATTTTTGCTGTTTGCTAAATTCCTTACAATTTGTCGACATGTTCTCACCCAGATATAGCCACAACATGTTTTAGAAGCCTCCTTTCCTGAGGTGGTTTTTTTTGCCCTTTGACATAATTTCCTTAACCAAACTTACATCAGTAATACAAAAATCATCTATTTAAAATTAAAATTGTTTTGAAATTACATGCTTAAGAAAAGCATTCTAAGTCCAGTAGTTTTACAGATGTGAAATAATTGCTGAAGCTAATATGAACCAGGAATAGCTGTATTTTTCAACAGCTCTCAGCTACATATACGATGTGTATTCTTTTGTAACCCTTTGTTTGGTACTAAACTAAAGAATTGTTTTGATGAGTCATAGAAATTTCAATTAGAATTTCAAATTTCACAGGTGTGATACACTTCTAATACACAAGTAATCAAGTACATGTGTAAGAGCTTGCAGGTTTCTGTCCACAAAACCATGATTTAAGGACACTATTCCACTGTGTTTGGGTTTGTACTATCAGCAAAAACAACACTAGCACAAATGAAGTTGTTTGGGCCAATATTTTTGCAATATTGTAGAAGTTATAGCTTAATTTCAAGGTTCAGAATATCACTCAGAAGCATTTCAAAGTTATTACCATTAAGTGCTGCTAGGAAAAAAAAAAGACAAAAAAACAAGCTTTTTTTTTAATAGGCAAGAATATATACTGCTATTGAATTATACATTTTTGTATAGTCACATACAGGACAAAATTTTAGTACTCTATTATTATAATGCTTTCTAAGGAACTGTAAATATGTATACATCAATGTAAATATGTATACCTCAACATTCAACACCTCAGTCACGTATGTAGATGCTTTTTTGCTGCTTGCTCAGATTCATTCAATTTGTCTGCTGCATCAGCTGATGCCTCTAAGACCATCCTGCAAGAACTTTTAATGGTTTGTTTAGCAAAGGGATGTTTCCAAAGAGCATTCTTGCACTGATGATGTTATACTGATTATCTATAGCTACTGCAATTAAATACAAAACCAACATCATCTGTTATAACTTTTCCTTTTTTTTCATTTCCTGTTTATTAGAGTGGCATTTTCCATTTTGTTCTAAAAAAAAATCAGACTCTAGTCTACCCATTCAAATGAACTTATTAATTTTAGCACATCAATTCCATGTTACCTAGCCAACAAATAATTTAAACTTTATTTACAAAAAAAAAAAAAACAGCATGAAATTATGTTTTCTTTTCTCTTTTTTTTTCTTTGGCCACTTTTCTACATCTTGACTGAAACAAGGTTTCTACTTTTGTTCAGACTTAGTTTAAAGACAATTCTGTCACATGAACATAAATGTTTAAATGTTTAAAAAAATGGAAGATTTTACTATTAATAATTCTTCACTATTTTAAAGTAACTTTCTAACAAGCATACAATATGACTTTACAGCCCCTTAGATAAGTTTTCACTACAACAACAAAAAGCACATTTGTTTTTTTGGAGTCATTGACTACTTAAGTCTTTGAAACAATACTGTCCATCTATACATCAAAAAATGGGTTTAAGAAACTGAGGAAATTCTACATAAACAACTGCAAATAAACAAAAATTAGTAAATTTTTGCATGCTTATTTTAATCATGTCAAAGAGTGACTAAGTTTGAATGAATTCTTAGAAGCCCCCAGTGAATAGACAAAGCTGTTACTGACAGTGACTAAATGATTCCTATGATTACATTACCTCAAGTCTTGGTGAGGTGATGTGAACATCTGATGTTCCGGTGTAGACCTTAACAAAATATTTTCATAAAATCCATCTTCATAACAGCCACTGAGGACTATTATTTTCATAATACAACTTGCATGCAATTATTCAGTATAACAGTCATTTATTCTGGCATTCACATATCATTGAAAAGCTGTACAAAAGTCCTGTGTTTTTCAATATTTCTACCCATCTTTCTTTATTCATGTTGTACTAACAACATCTGCCCCTTTCTAACAGTTTGTATATCCTTTCAATTTTGATTGGTATATTTTGAGGTGTGCATGAAGTTTCTGGCATTCTATTGGAAGTATTAACCTCCATTCTACAGACACAATGCTAAATTTACTTACACTACAGTTACTGTGATCAGTCATTGCTTAGTGCATGTGTACATTATATATTTGATGGGAAGTGTCTGTAAGGACTGCACTCAATTTCATGTCTTCTCATGTTCTAAGATGGGATGTCCTATGAGTACATACCAATAATACAGCAGGAACAGACAGCTTCAGGAAACTAGGCACAAGATGTTTCAGCTTACTCAGTCAAAAAATGCTTGATTTTGGCTTTTTTCCCTAATAAAAAGGACAGCTCTGGTAACAATAGATGCCAGAAATACAAACTTCTGATGTTTGGCATTGTTCTAAGTAGAAAACAAGTCTATTGGCAGAATATCAACCCTACAATAGAGCTGTGTCCAGATCATGTGGTTAGCTTTCAACAAAGTACTCAAACATGAGCAGCTGACACTTAGTACAGGAACTTTATGAATTCCTTGCTTATCTAGAACATGCAAGTATCATACTCACAAGATCTGCACTACTGCTTCCAGAGTACCAGGAGCACCCCTACAGAACAGTATCTAGCATTTATAATGCATGGAACAGACTTGTAACACTACTTCACTAGAAAAGGGACATTTTGGGACCACATTCCCTGCATCTCCAGGTGATTCAAGACAGCTTAATTAAATGCTTATTTGACCAGCATTTTTCCAAGGTGAAGACACATGTTCTGTGTACCTCTAGAATACAGATACTAAACTACTGTTATGCTTCCTGCAATGCCACAGCTAAGAAAGATCTTGGGTGTCAGTGGGAATAGGCAGCACATAAAACTTTTCCAGAAATGCATGGCATCTTTCTGCCTATTTGAAGGCAGAATGATTGAAAACCACCCAGATTTTGTCAGATATATCTAAGTAGTTTCACAATTCCCGCTTTTACAATGGGGTATCAATAGCCAAGCATCAATGAAACTTCACACTCAAAGATACGGTTCTATCATCCAGCTGTCAACAATGAGTCTACTACAGCTCAAGGAGCCATTAACAGGTTAGCATACATTGCCAATTTATTCACTGGAAATTTAGGATTCTTCCTTTTTCTTTAATTTTCTGTTTCTTGAACATTTTTCTTTACAAGTCTTAAGTGACATAGCTGAAGTATACAAATACTATTATTTTCTTAGACTACCAGAGATGAGACCTCTTGCTGGACTCAAGAGGGTTTGCACAACAGATATGTTACCATTAGGCTGACTTGTTCCATGCAGCAGCCAATTTTGGTACACAGCACAAAGATTTTATGAAATTTGTAAGTTTTTCACTATACCTCATGCCCTGTGATATGCATGAGACCAGAAACAGCAGCAGCAATGGAGTCATATCCACCTCTCTGAACCATTGGACCAGTCTGACCATAACCTAAGAGAAAAACAGAACAACTAGTAATTCAACCAAGGACAAATAGAACATAAGACATTATTACTCCTCAGCTTTTGTTAACAAGATGTCCAGACTGTACAACCAACGAATTGTATTGTATTCTATTGTATTCTATTTATTCCTGCACATTTCTAAGAGTAAAGTTGGATTTATCCTCTGTGGGTTGAGGATGTGTTTGATCTTAATTCTAGACAGACTTGTATCCCTGCTATGTTTCATTCCTTTTGGATGAAATTTCCTTTTTAATTCACTGTGTCAGCTGAGGTTGGACTCAGATGTTTTTTTTCAGAGACTCTACAGTATCTCTACAGGCCTAAAATTGCTGTCCAACTGGGCCCATCTTGCCTGTGTTATCTCCACTCTGCCATAAGGATACCTTGAATACCCCAAACAATACTAAAATCATGACACTATGGTTTTGACACATTAATTATTGTCCCCTCATTTCTGTTATTTTATTCCATATCTAAACAGAGCTACTTTTGAAACAAACATTGTTTACAAAAGATGGCAAGGCCTTAGCAAGTACGTACAATCTGTTTGCCAAGAGTTAGCACCAATGAAGTCCAAAATAGTGAGAAGTTTTACTGAACTACCTAAATACAGTTTTGTTCAGCTGTATAATTAACTTAAAATAAACAGCTGTAGACAGAAGGATGCTGTCTTACCTCTCTTTGCTATAGTCACCATGTTCTTCCAACAACGAACACAAAATCTTCCAATTGAGGAGGTCACTGGAACCACTAACCACCATCACAGAGGGTGAAAGTCAATAGGGAAGGAGCAACGTATTTGATTGATGGTTTCTATTAGTTCCTAATTAGTTCTAACGGCAGAGCCCTCAGTAATAAGATTTAAGATTCCTCCTCAAAGAGGAAGTAAACTCGGAGCTTTTATTTTTTTATTATTATTTAAGTGCTTTCTTTTCTGATATATCTAAGAGAAAATCCCTTGGAGCAGTTACAAGACATTTTTCACAGATAAGATTCCTAATTTAAATTTAGTTTTAAAACAACATTTCTGTTTCATTCTTACCTGAGAAGACAGTATTAGAATTACATTATATCAACATATACTGCAGTGTAAAAATTCCTGAATCTCCTAGATTCTTCTTCATAATTTGCCTGGAAAAATCTTCTCTTTATACAGTCTTTTCAGTAGGCATGACAGTCTAAATATTGGCCTTGTGAATTAAAGCACACAATTAAAATAATTTTTCATTGAGGTAATCTACCTCAGCTCATCCACCTGGACTGATGCTGTTATATGCATAATTCATAAATTACTCCTAATGTATATTATGAGAGGATTATGATGACTGAAAACTGCAGTTAAAGCACTTTGTTACTCCAATTGATAAATCATACCAAGCAAAACAATATCCACTTACTACACAGATTTCCTCATTATACTACAAACTATCTCAATTGCCTGATCTTTTTCTGGAGACATGAGATCCACATTGTGCAAAGCTCTTCCTTCTGTGGAGGAGCTCAACTTCTACACTCAGTGTCACAGGGAATATCAGAATACTACAGCCAATTCACTGACTTTATCAATGTAGCTTCAAAACATACATTTTGTAAGAAAAAAGTCAACACTTTTCTTATTGTCAAATTGGTGTCACGAGAGAAAAAAAACCTACCAGTTTACCTAGTTTTATTTTAAATCTGACTACAGCCAACTTTGAGATACCAAAGACAACTCATGGTATTTCCTTTCATATTTACACTCTTAAGTTTACAGCAAAGAACAGTGTATTCAAATATAAGAGGACTAGCAAATAAAATACACTGGATCCACCTAAAAATGTTCCAAAGAGCTCTAACTAGGCATATACCATTATCTCATTGGAATGCACTGTAGAATTAAAATCAGTTAAGTGTGTGGGGCCACTTCAAAAACAAAATCTTGCTCAATAAAAAAAAGTACTCAAAACAACTTTAATTGAATAGTGAAAAGCATATTGAAGTAAGTGAGAAACTACGTACTGGCCTCAATTACTAACAAAGAAAAGACATCTCAACACATCTACTCACACAAATGTTTTCATAAACAGCAAACATCTGAAAATTAAACATTTAGTATGTAGACAGAACAACTATACAACACTTTGCAATGCTCTTCTGGTAAGGACAAACATCCATCCCTCAAACACTGAATTCAGGAAAGGTGACAGGCAACAAGATCTGCATTTTTCTAGAGAAGTTTCACAAATAAAATTTTTTAACGCCTTTTCACACTTTGTAACATCCAGGTTTCAAAACAAAAGGTATTATTTAATGACTTTCTGGTTAAGATTAGAACTTGTATGGAGTGTTTATTTAATCTTCATACATCACAACAGATTAAAAAGAAAATCATATATAATTCTGCTTTTGATCTGAATGGACAAAGCTAGTGTGGGGACAAAATCTGTTGTCATTGGAAATGTTTCGCCCCAGGAACTATGGATATACAAGATTCCTGGAGGAAAAAGTAGAGTTAAGTGAGAAATAGCTATAGCTAAAAATGAAAGATCTCTTTATCCAGACAAAAAACAAAGGCTGAACATTATTTTCATGGTCAATGGAGCAACCCAGTGCAGATGTTTTAGAAATAACTAGGAACACAAACACAAAAAGCTTGAAGAAGAGTCCAAAATTACATTCAAAAAATATTCAGCCTGGTACACAGATTTTACAGTAACTGTAATATATACACATGCATACATTTGTACATATACACATGTACATATATATATATATAAATAAAATAACTCACTAAAAATAAAAATGCCACCTAAAGTTTATCTTTGTCCAAATACCCTCTGTTCTCTCATACTTAATTCAGTGTCAAAAGCATACATTTGCAATTACACCCTCAAACCTAAATATAGACTTCTGTTAAATAAAATGTAGTTAGTGGTTTAAAGTTTAGATGCAGTAAAAATACTTTAGGGTAAAGACATAATCCAAGATTAATACAGAGAGAATAGATTTAACAGTGATGGTCTCAGAAGGCAAGATATGGCAGCTGATCACACTCCTGCTCCCCTTTAGTGGAGCTTATCACTGTAAACTACAGTCAATATTTAAATAGTCTCTACTAGTAAAGAATTTATTTTAGATCCCTATGTCCAGTGTAGGTATTTTTATTTTGGGGATAGATTTTATAGAGACAAAAAAATTTTAGTTCTAATTTAATAAAACTGTTTTCTAAATAATTTCAGCTTGACAGGAAGTTGGCTAGATTCTAAATCTCATGTAAAGTTTTAGATTTTTGTAAAACAGAATCTGCAAATATCAAAAGAAAGTTGCACCACACTAAACCCCTATTTAACTCCTCAAATCTCCATTCTACACCTTGCAGTAGGGAGATATGATTTCTTCTCATACCTGTCACATCCTCGTGTGTCTAGAATTCAAAAACATTGCAGTATGAGCCGGTGTTCTGTATGGCAAAATGTACAGTTTCACAATCAAACCAAGTACAAGACAATAACCCCCAGTTAGATCTCCAAGTCGTTCCTAAAAATTGTCATTGTCAAAGCATTATTTAATCTGCATATCAAGCTTTTGAAATTGCCAGAAACAGAGAATCACACAGAATCACAGAACGGGTGGCGTTTGAAGGGACCACAATGGGTCATCTGATCCAACCTCCCTGCTCAAGCAGGGTCATCCTAGAGCACATGGCACAGGACTGTGTCCAGATGGTTTTTGAGTGAAGGAGACTCAACACCGTTTCTGGTTGAGTTGTGTTGAGAGCAAAATTTTTTCCAGTGTTTGGTCACCAGCACATTAAAGAACTTGTTCCTCATATTCAGGGGGAACTTCTTGTGTATCAACTTCCTACCATTGCCTTGTGTCTTATTCCTTGGCACCATCAAGAGCCTGGCTCCATCCTCTTGGCACCCTCCCTTGAGGTGCTTAGGGACATTGATGAAGTCCCTTATCAGTCATCTCTTCTTGAGGCTGAACAGGCCCAGATCCAGAAAACTGTCCCTGTAAGACAGATTCTCCAGTCCCTTAATCACCTTTACCACCTTCCAATGGACCCACTTCAGGAGCTCCATGTTGCTCTTGTGCTGAGAAGCCCAGAACTGGACACAGAACTCCAGGTGTGGCCTCACCTGGGCGCAGTAGAGGGGCAGGATCACCTCCATCCACCTGCTGGCAATGCTCTTCCTAATGCACCCGAGGAGACCATTGGCTGCCTTGGCTCTTGGACAGCTTGTTGTCCACCAGAGCCCACAGGTCCTTCTCTGCAGAGCTGCTTTCCAGTGGTTTGGCCCCCAGCCTGCACTGGTGCAGGGGGTCATTCTTCCCCAGGTGCAGGACTCTGCCATTGTCTTTGTTGAATTTCAGGCACTGCTTCCTGCCCATCCCTCAGTCTTCCAGTTCTTCTCTTCTATCTCTCTCAAGGCCCTTTTGAAGACCATTTTGAAGCCCTCCATGGTGTCTGCCACTCCTCCCAGCTTTGTGCCACCAGTGAACTTGCTGAGGAGGCATCTGCCCCTTCACCCGAGTCACTGATGAACAAGTTAAACAATCCTGGGCCCAGTACTGAACCTTGGGGACACCACTTGTGACAGGCCTCCAGCGATGACCCTGTGCCACTGATCACAACCACCAAAGGACAATTTGCTTATTCCGCATAGTCACACCTAAATCCTCCTGATCTGATCCTGCAGCCAAGTCCATCTTCTACATAAGAAAGTGTAGAACCTTTACTCTTTGAAGCTTTTTCTGAGCAAGAAAAATTAACTGGGTATGAGAAGTATGAAAGAACTGGCAGCAGCTACTTTATATCAGCTTAAGGGAAATATGGGCCTTTATCGGGGGCATTTACAAAGCAAACACCACAGCTTTCCACCAGCAATCCCGTATCCTTAGCTCAAACAAGAAGGAAGAAAGAGACTTGAAACAACTGGAAACTGAAAAATAATCATGTCAAGATAAACAGTAAATAATAACAGCACTAAGATACTCATCACT